GCATCCACTTAGTATTTGGGGCTGGGACCAGCCCCCTAGACCTCTCCCCTGATTCCCTACTCCACACCGGCATGTTGTCTTCACACCTTGGAACACTGGGTTGAAGTTTGGTCCCTATTTTCCTGTGGATATATAAGCAATACCCTCCCCTTGGGTGGGTTAGCGCCCTGTGCCCCCGCTACCCATTTCTTCCTTATTTTCATCATTTTTTTAATTTCCCATATTTTAAAAGAACTGATTAACAGGTGCTATGTAGTTTCAAAGATTCTTGGAAAATAATGACCCCCAAGGCTATAAAACAGAACTCGTAAAAATTAGAGTTCCAACAAACTGGGAAGTGGAACAGAATGACATGATCTTACCATTTTATTCATCTAGAATCATAACCTCATTCCCTGGTGGCAAAAAGTGTAGGAAACAAATACCAGTGAAAGAAGAGTGGACCCCATCACCAGTAAGGGACCCAGAAAAACCACGATTTTAGTCTTGTATTTTCATTCTCAATAAACACAGTCATTAGATGTCTTGATCTAAGGATGACAGCATATCTTCCCATTTCCATCTTTAGCAACCCTTTGAAATTTGCTTTCTTCAGTAGTTAAATTTCTCCTGCTAGTTATTTACTTCTTGTGGGTGGGAAGTAAGTAGTCCTTTATTGTTATTTATTCCCTACCACATCCACCTGCTCTGTTCTACCTGAAATGTTCTAGATACCCAACTTTATAATTGCCTTGAGTTCTTTCTTTAGAAAGCTATTGTGGGGGGAGGTCAGATGCATAGGCATTAATTAGTGGGCATTCATGCCCCCAAAAGGTATATAGGCCTGAGTCAGCAATATAGATCTCTGGCTCCCCTCTCTTCCCCCTCTCCTCTCCCATCCTCTCCCTTGTTCCCGTGCCCTCCTTCCCTTCCCCCTCTCTCCACGTGGACCGCCAAGCTGGGCTGAGGTGAGCAATGCTACCATGAATTGTGTCTGACTCCATTACTTGACTCTATTATCTCTCATGTTCTCAATGACTTTAATATAATACTTATATATCTCAACCGTATAATTGTGCATTGCTGAACCCGTGGGTAGTAGTAGCGGTGGGGGCTGGCCCCCTACCCACCCCAAACTTAATACAAGCCCTCATTGAACACATTTGGTTCTTAGGCTAAAGAGCAATTACGGTCATTAATTTCTTTGTGCATTTCCCATTTCACTGTCTCCCTCTGTTTTGAATTGATCTGGTAAAGCAGTGGTATAGGATAGGGTCCCTTATTTGAAACAGCACATAATAAAAAGATCCTTTGCCAATTAGTAGTGACTCCAGTAAGGCTGTCTCCATTTCTTCAGGGCGAGAGATTCCCTGCACCTTGCTATACAGTTAGACGTATAGAGTCAAAGGGACCTTGTGATAGTTAGGTTATTTTGGTGCCAACATGGCTCCTGTAGGAACATGTGGGCAGAGTTTAGCCTGTCAATCAGGTCACAGCGTGACTGGAGGGCAACTGAGATAAATGGCTTGCTGAAGGCGGGCCACTGTCTGTTTTCACCTTCCTGTTGAAAAGCCATGCTGAGACCTGCAAGAGCCAAGGAGATGCTTCCACCGCCACTGGATCCACAAGACTTTGCACCCACTGGCCTGTGATCTTCCTGAATTTTACACCATTGCATGTGCTGCGTGAGTCTGAAGACCGATTTATAGGCTAGGATCATACTTATGGGCTAATATCGGACTTATGGACTGATCTGTCTTGGATTGGGATGTTTTCTTAATATACAATTACTCTTTTATATAAATCTCTTTCTTATACATATATGCCACCTCTGGATTTGTTTCTCTAGTCAACCTGGTCAGACCTGTAGTATGATTGATTATAAATGTGCCTATTTTACAGATGATGAAACTCAGGTCTAATAAGTGGTCAAGTTACACAAACTAGACTGGTGGCAGACCACCATAAAAGCCAGGTTTCCTGACTAACAAGCCAATGTTCTCTTTCGTATGTCATGCTAACTCTTACTGAGAAGCCAGTGAAGGCACTTCTACAAAAGGGGTTAAATAGGGTTTGGTGGGGTGGGAGCCTAACTACTATTTATCAGTTTCTATAAGAAGCACATTCTGAGTTGTGCCTCAGACTTCTGCACACATACTTCAACCTCCTGTTCATTCTCGCCCAACACTGCTGAACAGAGTACCCGGGCCAGTGGGCAGGAATATAGGGCTTGTTTTGATTATCTTTAATAACTGGCTTAGAAATGAACAGAATACAATTTATCAAACAAGGGCAAATAGCTACCCACAGAGACACCTCAAAAAAAGAAGTTGATCTTATATTCTAGGATGACTCTTAGACTCTCCAAATTAACCACCTGTCTTTCTTAGAAGTAAATCTGGTACTAACGCTTCCTTAGCCAACCAACTGCAGAGCAACCTACTGGTCTCTGAAAGAGTAAAGACAACCAACGTACTTCCTGGACATACGGGAGAGGGCTCTGAAAACCCAGCTGTTGGGGTGATAACAAAGCAAAAAGCAAACACAAAAAGGGAAAAGAATGAAAAAAAAATCTTAGCATGACTTGGAAAAATACTCACTGAAACGTTTTACATACTGTTACTTTGCCTAGATATGGCCAAGCATCATGAACTATGTCGAGTTAAATGATTAGATTGCTTTCCCAATTCTTCCAGCCTTCAAACTTTGTTATCTGTTCCCAGTTCTTAATATGCAATGCAGAAACAGTTCTGGCCTACAAATGAGTGACCAGTATAGCTGGTAAGAGTTGGGAGGAAAGGCAAATCCGCATGATGATCACTGGCCTCACTGTCTATTGAGCCAATTGTCAAGTTGTGGAGAAAGACAGTAGCCACAAAGCTATCTCCAAAATTATCATATACAAAACTTTTTAACCTTTGGACACCTTTGGACATCTCTTTGTACATCTTAGTCCAAAGTCAAACCTTAGTCTCAGATCATAGAAGTTCATGGCTTTGTTACAAACTATACTCCTGAAAATGATTGCACAAGTTGTATTGGCGAAGTTGAACAAATTGGTGCTATAAATCACTGGTAATGTTCCAAGAGAATAAAAATTTACCTTCCGTCACACCTCACCATTAGAGACGTTCTTTCATAACACAGGTCCTGTCTCATGGAAATGATGGCACCTTCTTCTTTTCCTTAATGCATGGGCTCACAACAAGCCCTCTTCAGTAAACATCCAATGAGGATCTAAGGTTTGCCACTTGGGACTTGGCATTCATAACCATTTCCATGTCTCAAATATATTGTGTTCATAAAACTCACCAGCATTTTTCATTGTTATACTTCCTGTTTATTTTCATATAAGAATAAAATGCAGTAATATACTAAAATATTGCACCATGTTGTACAAGTAAAGATGGGAACACCTCTTGCCAGCAGTAGGTTCTGCCATGTTACGGAGCTAAGTGCTTGTTTAGTTGTGATTGTACAAAAATCTATATTTGCATCCAAAAGGGATCTTAGAGGCATTGAATATACAAAAACTGGTTTTGTCAAGTCAAAAGTGCTGGAAATGAAGATTATATAAATAACAGGAAGGACAACCAAACAATCATCATCATTTCTTGTTCTCCTTTTCCCTTATATTTACCCTTATCATGTAAGTGCCAAGAGGAGTTGAGGGGCTCCTTAAAGGAACACGTACAGAATGGCTACCATGACCCAGGCATGAGGCTGGGTCACTGGCACAAACACTGTCAATGTGGACACACCTGAAGTATACACTGTATCTTAGGTCAGAAACGAGACCCACGACTCCAGAGGCTGTTTACTTCAATAAGAATCCTTGCTTGATAAGTCACAAAAGTCCTAAAATGGATTGAGAAATGAGACTGAAAGACAACTTAAAATCACCCAGAAAAGACCCAGTGAAACTGTACTTAAATGAATCTTGAGGCGTACGGTTTTTTATCTGGGTAGATGGAGAATAATATTTTTTAAGTGTAAGGGAAACGACCATTTAAGAACATGGGTCTGGTATTAATCTTCCTGTAGGTTCAGGCATCATGTGTGCTTTGAAGATAGAATTATGTGCCTGGGCCTTAAAAATAATGACACACTTAAGGCTCTCCATGGTCTGCCCACGAAGACTGTCCAAGCCTAGGGCAATATTCAGTGTGTACAGAAACAGAGAACTAATTCTATTTTAGGATTTTTCCCTCCTCTTCTGGCCTGATAATGGAGTGGGGGAAAGTGAAGGGTCCTCTCTCCTTAGGGCGAGAGCTACAACTTATAGTGGCCACAGACCAATAAATGGCCACAGAGCTGTAATGCCCCAGGCTTCTGAAGGCCAACATGCTTAGATGGTCCCTCACATTACTGTGTTAAAGTATAAATACCCCAAATGAGAAAAATGCATGAGAGTCCCATGTGTGGCAGCCGTGGAAGAAGGAAACTTCTAGAAGGCCAGGAACTGAACTTCTATATCTGGGCTATTAAGGGAGAGGGACTGGCTGTCTGGGGTTGAAAAGTAAAAAGCATGATGAACCAAGGTCAGTGGCCCAGAGTCTACACCCACCTCTTCCTCTAACCGACTGTGTACCCTTGGATCTAAGAGAGTTAGAACGAATCCCGCTCCAAATGATTTTCAGTCTGTTGTCGGTGACCGGCCCTGACAGTGAAGCACTCACTTGAATCCAGAGAACGTTGAAGACTGTTTAACAATTAAGACATTTTCCATCTTTCTTGATACTGAAGATCTTATAACCACCTCTATAAATTAGGCTGGCACCACCTAATAGTAAGAAGTAATAAAAGAACATAACGCAGAGTTGATAGTCTGAAATATAAACTTTCCACCTAATTCACCATTAAAGAAAATACTTTTTAAAATTGTTTTAGTATGTAAGTGAAACCACTTGTAAAGTACACTTCTGATCAATCTCTTTAGGCTTCTGACACACCAAATTGGAGGACCGTATCCCAATAAAGTCTTCATCCTTATGGTAAATCAAGACTAATATGAGGCCCTGGTGAATAAAGTCCTTAGCTTCTCACTTCTTCAAGCCATGCTATGGTTTTCTTCTGCAGCGTGACAGTCCCAATGAGCAGCAGGGCTGCAACAGTTCCCGGCCAAGGTCAGCAGTCCTGTCCATAAAACTCCACGGGAAGACATCCTTAACGGGCTGAAAATCACCAATCTCAAAGTCGTGGCTAAGCTGAGTATTAGGAGGTGGCATCAGCGACCCCTGGGTGGAACTGGTGGAGGTGGAGGATGATGGAAGTTCTCCCTGGTTGGAGGTCTGAAAGAAAAGATTAAGTAAACCTGAATTTTTTTTTAATATATATATATATATATATCATTTTATTAGGGGCTCATACAACTCTTATCACAATCCATACATACATCAGTTGTGTCAAGCACATTTGTACATTAATTGCCCTCATCATTCTCAAAACCTTTGCTCTCCACTTAAGCACCTGGCATCAGCTCCTCATTTTTCCCCTCGCTCCCCCCTCCCTCATGAACCCTTGATAATTTATAAATTATTATCTTGTCATATCTTACACTGTCCGACTTCTCCCTTCACCCACTTTTCTGTTGTCTGTCCCCCAGGGAGGAGGTTATATGTAGATCTTTGTAATTGGTTCCCCCTTTCCACCCCACTCTCCTTCCACCTTCCTGGTATCGCCACTCTCACCACTGGTCCTGAAGGGATCATCGTCCTGGATTCCCTGTGTTTCCAATTCCTATCTGTACCAGTGTACATCCTCTGGTCTAGCCAGATTTGTAAGGTAGAATTGGGATCATGACAGTGGGGTGCGGGGGGAAGGAAGAATTTAGGAACTAGAGGAAAGTCGTATGTTTGATCGTTGCTACACTGCACCCTGACTGGTTCATCTCCTCCCCACAACCCTTCCATAAAGGGATGTCCAGTTGCCTACAGCTGGGCTTTGGGTCTCCACTCCGCACTCCCCCTTATTCACAATGATATGATTTTTTATTCTGATGATGCCTGATACCTGATCCCTTCGACACCTCATGATTGCACAAGCTGGTATGCTTCTTCCAAGTGGGCTTTGTTGCTTCTGAGCTAGATGGCCGCTTGTTTACCTTCAAGCCTTTAAGACCCCAGATTCTATATCTTTTGATAGCCGGGCACCATCAGCTTTCTTCACCACATTTGCTTATGGACTCGCTTTGTCTTCAGCAATTGTGTCAGGAAGGTGAGCATCATAGAATGCCAGTCCAATAAAACAAAGTATTCTTGCATTGAGGGAGTACTTGAGTAAAGGCCCAATGTCCATCTGCTATCTTAATACTAAACCTATACATATATGCACTGGGGATAATAGAAACAGACAAATGGCAACATAAAATGGAATGTTACCTCTATTCTCAAAAGTTCATCAACTTGCAGACAGATATAAACAAAGGCATGGGATGTATTATAATAAAGGTGTTTGGGGAACCAAAAGGAGGAGATTCACCTGGAACACCAGGAAAGGCTCCATTCCACCAGGGAGCTGTCTGGACAGAGTCCTCAAAGATGAGTAAGAATTTTCTCAGCAGATATTGGAGGCGGGCAGGAAGACAGCATTCCAAGAAAAAGACTGGGTACAGACACAGTGGTAAAACATGGGTGCTACCCATGGGAACTCTTAGCAGGGGAATACAGGTGGGGCTTCAGGCTAGATGGGGGTCAGGTCAAGCTAAAACAATTTTTTTTAGAATTGAATGTTAAGGTTTCCATGCCAAGAAGTGACATCATCAGCTGTTTTACGCTTCAGCGAGTGCGCTCTGGTTACAATGTGGAGGAGGGGTGGGCGGGAGGCAGGGAGATCCATGTGGGCCTCCGACAGTAAACTTCACACTGACAGATGGAGTGGAGGGCTGGGTCTGAGAACTGAAAGGGCAGCAGGACAGACAGCCTGGGGATATGGTGGACGTGGGAGCTGTGAGGAGGCAGGAATCACAGGCGAGCTAATCGGGACCATTCTGCCAGGTTGGGAATGCAAAAGAAGGCAACCTGGGGAAGACAATGGTAGGTAGAATGGTGAGTTTAGTTTGGGGGTTGAGATTATTTGTGGATGGATGGATGGATGGATGGACGGGTGGATGGCATCAATTGACCCTGACAACCTTACACATAACAACACAGCGCTGTCCGGTTCTGTGTTTTCCTTGTGATTGCCAGCATGCTCTAATCCACCAGTGTAGCTAGTGTGCCAATTCATCTCACAGAGAGTCTCCCTCACCCCCACTGGCTCTCTACAGCACCAAACTCCATGCCCTCTTCCAGCATCCGCACAGAGATGGAGATTTGGAGTCTTTGTCTGCTGGTGGAGATTAAAGCTGTGGTGGGAACATGCAGAGCACGAGCAACTAGTAAGATAAAGGCCACATCTACCAGTGCTCCTCAGGTGGGGGTGGGGATGGGGGGAGGGAGGCTCAAGAGATGGGTAGGAACGATTGCCAATCCCAAGAGATGACAGATGAGAAGAGGCCATGCAGGTCAGCCTCCTTGCCCATCAGTGGTCAAGGTCAAGCACCTAAGCCATTCAGGAGAGCAGTTCATTTTGTTCGCTGTTCAAAGGTCTCATTTTGCTGTGAAGATTTGCATGCACATTACAAAGCAACTGCATATTTGGAAATCTTTTCTAACACCCGGAATTCCAAATGCAATCAATCACAGTCTTCTTGGTGGACAGTTATTTAATAAAAAATGCTTTCCTACTTTTATGTCCCACTTCGGTTACAACCTGCTTCCAGATCCCTGGACTCCTCCTCTGCCATCTCTGTTTACAGATGTATCCCAGTCTGCACCCTTTAGTATCTGGAACCAGTACCCCCCGCCCCCAACACACACACACACACCCGTTGTCCTATTTTTCTCTCCCATTAAAAAAATCTTGCCTAATCTTTGTAGTTAAAGCTTCAAACTTGCCAACTCCTACCTTAGTACGGAGTTAGACAACTGGCTCCAAAGCCCCCAACCTTTGGGGGTAAAAAGACCTCAGATCTCCTGTCCTGACACCTAGACCTTTCCAAACCAGTGTAACGCTGTGACTGAGACACTGGGTCCTGGAGCTCGGCCTGCCTGCACCTGTCATTTAGAGCAAGTCTGAAGCCTGGGTCTCTTCTGCGAAACAGCGAGGACCCATGATCGAGGGCTATAGTGAGGATGCACTGAGAATAACGCACCTGGAGTGTTGGGCAGCCTGCCCGGCATGCGGTTCATCCAGTAACACACTTAGGACCACAGCCCCTTCTCCACGAGCAACTCTCCCTCGTCACCAACTATGCGATCATTTCCTTTTTGTTTTTTAAAAACTCATTTTGAGGGCTTTTACAGCTCTCATAGCAATCCATACATAAATCGAAACAAGCACATTTGTACATGTGTTGCCATCATCACTTTCTAAACATTTACTTTCTATTGAGCCCTGGGTGTCGGCTCCTCTTCCTCTTCCCCGCCACCCTCGTGGCCCCTTGATAAATTAAATTATTATTGTTTTCATATCTTACACCAACTGCTGTCTCCTTTCCCCCACGGTTTCTGCTCATCCCCCTTGGTGGGGGTGGGGGCGGAAGGACATGACCATTGTCAAGCACGACAAAGTCATGTGAATTCAGAGGACAGGACTCGAGTCTGGCTAAGGTACCTTCTCAGGCTAATATTTCCACATCAGACCCGGTTAGCACCAAGCCTGGTGAATAGGCCAGAGCTTGGCACGTAGGGTGGGGATGTAGCTAGGACATGAGAACTGGCTGGAGGCACAGAGAAAAGTGAGACTTAGCAAAAAAACAAAAAAAACAACAAAACAAGTAAAGGAAACATCTTAGCACAGTCAGCTTCTCTTCCCAGAAGACAGGAAGGAAGGCTGCCTGGTACTTTGTGAACCCACTCCACTGATGAGGAGATTCGTTCGAGTTACACATTTCAAACTGCAAAACCCGCTCCCAGGAAAAAAGCTTCACTCTTTCTGACGCTCCTCCCATCCACTCCACACCACACACCACACACACACACACACACACACACCATCAGAGAATAAAAATCCCCAGATGTTGTGCTTCCGAACAGCTGCTTGCTCTGTTGGCAGGGACGCTTCTTCCTTGTAACTCCCTGAGGCCTTTAAAAGGGGCTGGCAGACCCAAAAATGTACCTCAGGGCCCAACCAAGCAGCCCGTCTGTTGTTGAAAGGAACCAAACCTAGCGCATTGCCATCGAGTTGCTGCCAGCTCATGGCGACCCTGTCGGACAGGGTAGAACTGCCCCTGGGAGTTTCTGAGCCTGGAACTGTTTACCGGAGGAGAGAGCCCCACGTTTCTCCCTCAGAGCAGCTGGTGACTGATGGTCGGTGACTGCCCGAGAGGGGGCCCTTGGAGTCTGAACCCAGAGCACGCTCTCCACCACCCACAGCACAGCCCCTCGCCTGTAGCTTCCTTTCTGAACCCTCTGTGTCTCCTGGTCCTCAGTAGCATGTACTGGCTGCAACAACACAGCACACAGTGTCCGCTAGGAGGGAGCTGAATCCTGGCCAAACACCGCAAAATTGCTCAATAAGCTCATAGTTATCCAGAGATTTCATTTCCAGGTGATTGCTTTTGCTATTTAAAATATTGACATCTGATGGAAGCATCGCTTAAGTGAACGGAGAGCCCGCGTTGCCACATGGCAGCAGGCGTGCAGCATTCCTGAAAGCGCTGCTTGCACTCTGGGGCCACCTCCGCGATCCCCAGGTGCCCCTCTCCCCCGGAACTCAGCGTACAGCACACGTTCACTATTACCTCTGTGACGCCGCCCTCGGAGGCACCCTGGGGGGCCTTTCAAGGGGCACCGCGAGTGCTCCGACTGGCTGGGGGCCTGGACTACGACTCCTGGTCACCTCGGGGACTTCATTATCCTACGGCAGATGAGAAGGAAGAGTGAACATGGCATTCGGCACGGCTGGACACCCGGGTCTCCAAGCCCCTCAGGTCTCCTCAGGTCTGGCTGGAAGTCACTCAGAAGCCGAGACGCAATCAAAGCCAGTGAACCCCCAGGTAGCGTTCCGTTTCTCCCCAGAATCACCGAGGGAGGCCACCTCGTCCAAGTGACCCCTGGACCCTCGGTCACCCTCTGCGGAGCACACTCCTGGCCCAGCAGCAGCAGCCCCTGGGGGCCGATGCGCAGGCTCCTCCCAGACCTGCCTAATCAGAATCCACATGGTAATTCGCTCTGCAGGTAACGTGAATGCATGTTAACGTTTGAGAAGCCCTGCTGTATCTAACCGGGATCAAAAATTGTTTTTAAAACAGCAGCCATGGACTCAATGCTGCCTCCTGGCGACCCCGGGCATCCGCGTAGAACTCCTCCTCAGTGTCTCCAAGAGCTCGTTTCTCAGGACTCCACCTCCCAGTCTTTCTTCCAAGGCACCTGTGGGTGGGCTGGACCCTCCAACCTTTCGGTCAGCAGCTAAGCACGTTAGCCACTGGCACGTTGGCCATTTCTTCCCCAGGGCAGAGCTGGAGAAGGTTTTTTAAGCACACATTCTTGGTTGGGCAAACAGAACGGTGAGTGGTCCTCAGACACAGGGTATTATTGCAAGTTATGCACTATTCACGGGTGGTCGCCTGCCCTTGAGTACCTTCTCAGGGAGTCTGCTGGGAGGGCAGTGGACCTTCCTGCTCACTGGATCAGGGAGACAACCTGACCCAAAGTGATCTAACTTGGACCGGGGCCGGGGCCCACAGCAGCATCTGACGCTTGCTCAAGGGCCTTGTGTATAGGAGAGGCAGAAGCAGCCAATCTGCAGGGAGAGGAGGCAGGTATGTTCGAAGCAGCAGAGCTGAAGGCGTGCACAGCCAGGGCACATGGCGAGCAGTGGCCTGGAAGCTTCGATCCACAGGTCACAGGTGCCTGCCTTGGCTTAATTAGTCAAAATGGGTTTCTGGAACGAGGCCCCCACATAAGAGGAGGGAGAAAAGAGTGGGGGTCCCCGGCTCTCACCTCATTGTCCCCCTCCATCCCGCTGCTCACACTGAGGAGGCTCCTCGTGCTGGATCGGTTACTGGCGCTGCCTGGTGGGGAGAAATAAAACCAGTCACACCGACGACCCTGCAGTCGCCAGGGATAAAACAAAACGCAGAACTTTAGGAATAGTGCATGAGCTGTGGCTGTGGGGTTTTAAAGTAAGAGTTCACCTTTTCTTTTAGCATAAAATGAAATGGCTCCTTTTTTAAATTTATAGTTCTTGCAATATAAAAATCCTGACCCAAACGCATTGCCATAGAGCGGATCCTGACCTATATCATCCCTTTAGAACTGCACCCTGTAGGTTTCCGAAGCTGTCAGTCTTTATGTGGGCAGAAAGCCTCATCTTCCTCCTGTGTGGAGGCTGGTAGTTTCAAACTATTGACCTTGTGGTTAGCAGCCCAACTTAGAACCCACTATGCAATCAGGGCTCCTGAGCTTCCATTACCCCTTCCCTTGGCACCCTTAAATCTTTCACCTCCAATGTCTGGCTCTTAACCTTGCCTCCCCAGGGCCATCTGCCCTGCCCTCTGGTGACCAGCTTGCCCGCAGCTCAGGGCTTGACGTTTGGGATTAGCCTGGCCCTGGCTCCCAGCAGCTCAGGGTTGTGTGCAATCCGGACAAAGTGCTTTCCCTTTTGGGTTGCAAATATCTCACCTATAAAACAGAGGAGAAGACTAGTTCAGACGTTGCTGACTTACGGTCAAATTGTGTGTGTGTGTGTGTGTGTGTGTGTGTGTGTTCACACGCTGTCATGTCCTGTGGTGTGAGGTATAGTAACTGTGGTATGCACACACATGCATGTGCATTTTCTTGGGAGGTGGGTTTAACATAAATATCACATCATCAAAGGGATTTGTGATACAAAACAAGAAGCAGCAGCCCTGGGTCAGATGACCTTGAAATTCAGCTTCTCTCCTGAGCTTGTGCTGCCGTTTTTTGTTGTTTTGACGATGACAACGGAATGGAGGGAACTCCATCCGCTTGGCCTGTGAAACTCGAGTGTCTGGAGCCAGCCAACCCCACCCTGGCTACCAGATGAAGCCCAAGACTCCGCCGGCTCCTCCCTTGGCTGGAGCCATCAGACGTCAAAGGGGAAACCTTTCCTACCTAGACCCTCAACTGACCCGGGAGGTCAGGATTCTCAAAAGGGACTCCTTCTTTGCCGACCTTGCATGAATTCTACCCAGAGCTTCACACCAGTTTGCTCCAGTGGGACCCCCTGCTTAGATTTGGTATTTCCATGCCAGGTATATGGAATCAGAACATGATTTTAACACGATTCCCCCACATGATTATGGGGGTTGTGGGGTGGGGTTTGAACCTGAAAAGCACCAGTTGCAAAGTCCAAGCTGTACCACAGTTAGGGAGGCAACATGAACAGTGTTTAAGCAACTGCCCAAGTTCAAATCCCTTTTCTACCACTGACCTAATCATGAAATGAGGGCATGGCACTAAGGGTCCAGGTCCCCCAAGGGGAAACATCATAGCGCATCTCTCAGAGTTCTCATGAGAATTAATCTATAGAGGAGACTGAGCAAACAGTAGCTGTTCAATAAATAGTAACTACTACGATTAATCCATTTTCTGTTTGTAAACGAGACCGAGAAACAACCACCCTGCAATCTCACTTTGGAGGTATCTGTGAGCCCTGGTGGCATAGTGGTTATGCATTGAGCTGCTAGCTACAAGGACAGCAGTTCAAAACCACCAGCCATTCCGGAGGAGAAAGATGAGGCTTCCTGTTCTCATAAAGAATTACAGCCTCAAATACCCACAGGGGCAGGTCTGCTGAGTCAGAATTGACTCAATGGCAGTGAATTGGGGGCAGGGGTGGGGGTGCCCATGGAAATTAAACCTCACAGGTAGAATGGTCCTGGTTTCTTACACCTCTCACACCCACACCAGGCATCACTGAACACTTCCCAGGCCCCAAGGCCCCAGTTAGCCCGCCCTGCTCACTCGCTGTGCTGGAGGTGCTGTCTGTTTTCCAGTCCCCTCGTCTCAGCTCCGTCCTCGGGGGGAAAACACTTTTCCTGGGCCCGCTCTCATAGACCCCAAACTCCACTTTACCAGGCAGGTGCTGGGAGTGCCGGATTGGGACGGTGATCTCCAAGTCTGGAATTAGAGGAAAGAGGGTGAGCTTCAAGGCACCAGACTGCCATTTACCCAACTCCCTCTCTGCCTGCAGCCCTCACCTGAACCTGCAGGCTGCTGTGAAAGAAGGGGTGGGGGGGTGGGGAGATGGGGAAGGGAGAGGAGGCTGACAGGGTAGGATAGGGACTCCAGGACTCACGTAGAGGACAGGACCCATGCCCCACTCAGTCCTGTGTGCCAGTCAGGAGCAGAGAAAATGGAGAGAACCTGTCATTAGTAAAAGGTGTGGACCTGGCGTGGTCAGCAGGCATGGGACCTGGGTGCCTCAGCCTCTCTGAAATACTTGGAGGAGAGGAATTGGTTCATGACTGATTATCACTGTGGGCTGAGTCCACGTGGCAGTTGGCTCCTAGAAACCCTGTGCTTCCTTGGGAACTTTGGGGCATTTCCACATCGTCCTCCAGGGACCTAGGGGTTGGAATCCAATGGATGGCAGTGGGGTGTGTTGGGTTGGTTTCCAGGCCTCGGGCACAGCTCTAAGAGCTTTCACATTTTAGCCCCACAAAACCCACTGACCTAGAACTACTGTGTCACTGTCTCCATTCAACAGACGGGG